GAATATTACGAGTTTGAGTGTTCCAAGGGATCAGCGAATGTGGAAGAAGTCTTTGGCCAAAGCATTTGTGTTTTATGAATGGTTTCATAGAAACACAATTATACATTTTTAAGATGATCCGAATTATGTGATCAAATGTCAAATCATGGCATAATTATGAAGTTCTCAAGGTTCGATCCTTAAACCTTAAAAACTAGGGGGCTTCTGTTATGCCTGAAAAAGTAGGGCTGACGTGGAACCTCGTTAGTAAAGGATGGTCAAAGCTCAGAAGGGTTCTGTGCTGTCCAGGTGTGGCCACGTCGCGCCTAGCGCAAGTCGTATGGCTCCTGTCAATGCAGCAGGTGAGTGCCAGGCCAGCAAGCGGCTGGAGATCGACCACGTGTCAAAGCCCTACTTTAGTCGAGGAAATCCCTCGGGCAAGTGACCAATGGGACGCAAATAAAGGATTTGCACAGAACCTACCCACTTGCAGCTTTTATAATCATTACCTTGAACTCTCCCACTATAAATAGAGGACTTCCCTCTCATTTGTAAGGGCTTAGCTAATTTTACTCAAAAATAACTCTCTCTCTCTCTCTTGTATTCTCTCTCTAAACTGTAACTCAGCTTGTTGAACGCGACTTGACCTCTCTCTCTTATTAATACAATAGCAGTGGACGTAGGATTCGCTTTTGACCATCCGAACCACTTTAAATATTGTTTTTCACCTTTTATTTAATTCAATCCCCTCATATCACGTGTGACTTCTAAGTCTTTTTAACATTTTATACGTGTGACTAGTTGGTGTCAAAATCAAGCATCAACAAAAAATTAATGCATTGATATATTAAATATTTTGTCATTTAGTGTCTTTTAACATATGTTTTACGTAGACCTGACAAAACGGGTCCAGACCCGCGGATCGGCCCGTACCTAGGTAAAAAACACAGGGTATGTATCTAATATAATGGAGCAGTTTTTTTCAACCCATACCCGACCCGACCCGTATTATTAACGGGTTATATGAGTAAACCCGCGGGTACCCATTTTTTGCAAATCTGAAATCCCTTACTAACTCTAAAACAAAATGTCAAAATAAGTAAATAACAATTCTCTCTCGCCTCTGAATCTCTCATCAGTAGAACTCACTTGACTCATTCATTCTCTCAACTCTCAATCTCTCATCCGTGAACCGTGATCCCATTCCCAGTCCCACCGTCGCCGGTCACCCTCACTCACCCTCGTCGGCTTGTCATCTCCTCTCTCTCACGTCGTTGGGCGTCGGCTCATCATCTCCTCTCTCTCTCCGTCACAAGTCTCGCGGCTCTCCTCCCCACCGTTACAGTCGCAGATCGGTGAGTTAGGTTTCAAGATTTGTTTTTATTATATCCATCTTTGTTCCAGAAAAGCTGCACCGGTGGCTTTTGGGAGAATCATACGGATCATTATGTGTCCTTGTTCATTGTTATACCGTATGTGGCAATCAAGATTCTCTGTTTGGGATACAATCATCTTATTACTGTGTATTTGTAGGTTAGGACTGTTGGCATTTCACCAGGCATTAGTCATTAACCCCAAGATGCTTTTGTGATCTTGGTTTTTGCTTCTGCCCAGTAAAATGGAAACTGAGAGGAAGGTGTTAAATTTGCAAGAGAACAAGCAAAAGATCAAGTTAATTTTGTTCCTAACATCTCCGGGTATTCTGAAATTAAATCAGATGAATAACTTGACTGAGTTGGCATCTTTAGTTCAAGATTGTGTCAATGGTTTGAATGAGACACACTCTGGTATGGTAAGTGCATTTAATTTTGATATACTATTTACTGCTAATAACTTCGCCAAAATTGCAACGTATAAAATGATCTAACAAATTGTGTTTCCTATTGCATATTTATGATCATCTGAATCTAGTATCAGATTGTGCCTTGAAGCACATTTGGATTAATAGTTGACTGCTGCACAATACCTGATTTTCTGAACCCTCTGTTTCATATGCAGTTTTCTTTTGTAGGATAGTAAGACATAATCATTATGCATACCCCTGGTATTTATCTTGTGATCATCTTTTCCTTCCTATTTTCTTCGGCGTAAATTCCCATATATTTCATTGAGGGAAGCTGCTACCTGCGGTCTTTTGATTTGACAAACGATGAATTTTTGGGCAATGAAAATAGATAATGTAGTCGAGCACATCCTGACTCTGTATTAAATCTATAGATAACCAAAAAGCAGAAATTGGTGGGGAAGAAGTGCAGACTTTCTGAGCAGTACCTAACTCGAAATAAGCAGGCGGTGATTCCAAAGAGGAGAGCCAGCAAAAAGGGGAGGAACAGAAGAAGTTAGTTGAGACTTGCCAATTACATAAAGAAGAAATAAAGATGACTCGAGGAAAGATATCAGAGAAGAAAGATTGCCATTCATCATTAGAGGAGGTGATTGCTAAGAATATGAAGAAACACAAGAACGTAGTTAAGGAGAACAGCAAATGGTTGCCACTGTCAACAGCATCTGTTTGTTGTACTATGTATTTTGTACTTCTTGATGCGGTATTACGATATAATTTACAACTGATTGCGACTAGTAAATTACCTTCTCCTTTAATCTTGTTTGTTTAAATAATTAAATGTATGCGGTATTGATATATTCAATCATCAAATCATCTTCTCTTTGTTTTGCTTCCAACATGTACTCTGCAGGTGTAGTAATTTAGAGGCAGATGATGGGCCAACGCAATAAGTTTCGGCATGATCGTGGTGTCTTCATTTCTGGGCTGCTTCAATTTTTTTAGTTTGTAGGGCAAGTTCACCAAGTTTTTTTGCAGAGTAGTTTTACCTTTCTAGATTCAGAATAAAATAAAAAAGCATCAATGGGGGCATGTCTCTCTTAATGTCCAAAACTCAATTTCACATGGGCCAATTGGCCATCCATCAATCTTCTGTCTAAAATCATTGAATTCTTTTTATTCTGAATTAAAGCAATCAATCATTGGAACTTCTTTAACGTATCAGTCACTGGAGCTATCAAGGGCTTGCTAATTAAATCACTTCATAAAAGCTGTGGAAGTTACTAATTTTGGGGGTGTAACTGTCATAATTAAAAACTATTAGGGGTGAACTGTAAAAACTAAAACCTAGAGAGAGAAAAAATGGGTACCTGCAGGTCCACCCGTATCCGCATAGGGCAAGGTACGGGTCTAATATTTTGGACCCGTATTGGACATGTACCCAGCCCATCCACCCATTTTGCCAGGTTTAGTTTTAGGCACACGTTAAGACAATTTTTTATTTATTTATATAAGAAATTATATATTAACTTATGGATTAAAATAGAAAAACCTTGATGTGCACGGTAAATGTAAACACAAGTTGGATATAGTAGTGAATCTAGAGACTTATATTAGAGGGAGCATTTAATAAAAATTACATTTTAGAGATGATGTATTTTGAATTTTTGACAATTGAATGCATTTAATTGAAAATAATTTTTTGCTTCATTCCAATATATGTATTTTTTATGTATTTAACTAAGACCTTTAAAACAAATAGTATAAGAGTAATCTTATAATTTAGATTTTGGAGTTCCAAAATGGTGTTGAAAATAATTTGGGTTAATTAAAGTTTATAATTAGAGATAGAAACATGTTATATATAATAAAACATGATATATTGGAAAATAAGATGTATATATATATATATATATATATATATATAAGTTTTAACTATTTTTATGACAGTATCCAAAGCAGTCTGAAAAAATGCCAGAAATTTAACATTACAAGTAAATGAAGAAATTAAACAACTACAGCAATTTTTTCAAATCGGCGTTTGTAGTCCAACGGTTAGGATAATTGCCTTCCAAGCAATAGACCCGGGTTCGACTCCCGGCAAACGCATACTTATTTTTCACTTTGGTTTATTTTGCATTATAAAATTCTAAACATAATTATTTTTATCGCTTTTAGGTTTTGCATTTATACAATTCGAAACATACAATTTCTTTGTCTAATTTCATTTGTATATGCAATTCTAACACATGAGGAAGATAGAACCAAAAAGTGTATTGAATGGATAAGATCTGTGGATATCAAATTAATATTTAAAAAATCAAAAAATTTCAAAAAAATATTTGAGCACATCACTTCATCGCTTCTATTATGTGGACTGAAATTAAAAATATAAAAAAAAATTGCATGATGTTTAGCTATAATAATTTTATCTATAATAATTTTATCCTCCCATGAGGTTTTTTTTTTTTTTTTTTTTTT